CCCGGGCGCGAGGCCCCGCACGTGCCGGCCCTGCGGGCGCTGCGCCCCCCGGCTCCCTCCGGCCCGACGGCGGCTCCTCCTCCCCGGCTCCTCCCGGCGCCTCTCAGCACCTTCCGCGGCGCTGCCCGCGCACCGACGACACCCTCCTTCCGCCGTCTCCGGAGTGTCGCTGCGCCCGAGCGCGGGGCGGCCGGATGCTCCGGGCCTGGAGACGCCTCCCGCTGTCCGGGAACACAAGGGATCCAAGGGGCCGTGACTCAGTGCGGGGTGGAAATGGGGAAGGGGTTTTTCACCAGCACCAGCCGCGGCGCTGCAGGGGGAGCAGCGGGGACCCGGCCAGGCGCCTCTGCTCCTGCGAGATCCCCCTGAGATCCGCGTCTCCAGGAGCTCCGCTACTCAAGTGTGAGACCTCCAGATGTTACAGACATGCTGCAACTTTTTCAAAACTCGTCATCACAAACCCGGGAAATTCGGATAAAATGTTACCCTTTAAATAATTCCGACTTTGTGGAGATACGGAAATGGCAGCAAATGCACCTAAACAGCCCTGGAAAGAGGAGCAGGGAAACAAGTGTGTCTTTGACAGGCAATTTATCTGGGATCAAATTGGTGAAAATAGTACATTCTCAAAGCAGAATGTGTTTTTCCTTGGGCAGAAATTAACAGAGCGGCTGTTCGGCTGCTGTAACTACATTTTCTACCTTAGTCTGGTCTTTAAGTGTATCCTTAGCTCTGAATTTCCCACTTGCACTGCACATGGTTTTGCAATATGCTTGTTGTATTTCAATCCTGCAGTTACTCTTAATGCACTCTTAGTCTTCATTCTGTCCTCAGTCAGATTTCTGCCTCTAAATATTTTACTTTCATTTAAGTGCTGTTAGTACCAATAGTATTTTTAAGGTAGGAAAAGCCTAACACACCATACACATACAGAAGCCACCCGCTGATACTGGGAGGGCAGCGCAATTCTATATCATCCCATCTTTCTCTACACTGCCTGTGACATCCCTTCCTCTCTGCTGGGATGGGTAAAAAGAAATGATCACTTGAGAAAAGCTCAGCCGCTGACCAGGGGGGCAGCTGGGTGGTTTGTACAAAGCCTGAGTGGATGAACCTGCAAGTCCTGCAGAAGACTCCAGCAGTCCTGGGGCAGCTGGCACTCACAACCCAGGCTCACATGTCACCCGATACCTGCAAACAGTTAGTCTGAAGAATACAAAACCTTCATCTCAACTCCTTTTCGAAAAGGGTGCTGTTCTTGACAGTGATCAGCTTTCGTTCCTCGTGGTTTTCATGCATCTCCTCTTTGGGGAGGTTGGACATCACCGGGCTCTGTAACTACATTTTACCAGAGCAGTAAGGGGTAGCTGATTGTGAGGAAGAACCTCAGCCTTAGGAGGAAGGCATGTAATGCTAATGCTGCAGATCTCTGGGCCTCTGTCCAAAGACATGAAGCAATGTAACTTAGATTATGCCTATTTTGGCTTTGCTTCAGCTTTCACATTGCTCCTAATTCAGATACATCAGAAGGGTTTATTTCAGAGCACTTTTGTTGTCCTTCGAAAGACCAGGAAAACATTCATATTGCTTCTGTCATGAAGGAGTTGGAGGCTATTAGAGAAGAGTAAGGCTTTGTAAGGGTATGGCATGGGACACTGCTTTTTTTGTCTATAGGTTTTAATTTCTTTAACTCTTTGATATACTGAATTTTGAAAGAAGAGAATGCACAGAAGCCTCAGAGCATTTTGAAATACTGCCCTTCAGCATGAGAGGTTCACTAAACGTTCATGAACCCTCCTATACTGAGCAGACTGGATTCAGTATGGAAGGCAGCTCAGAGGAAGCTGTGAATGAATTGAACTCCAGCTTCAGCAATTGAAAACTTGACATTTTTATTTTAGTAGAAGTAAGGCATGTAGGAAGCCAGCTAGACATTTTGCATCTTTGGGAATAGTGTAAAGGGAGATGCTGTTTCAATTTAATACCCATCAAAATGATTTAGTCTGTATATTATGTTCCTGGGAATATCTATTTAGTGCAAAGCACCACAAGCTGCCTAAAAAGTGTTTCAAGGGAAAGGTCATTCTATGGTTTAATCACTATAATCACAAATGAAACATAAAAGAGTCCATAGTGTTTTCAAAAACAGTTTTGAGAACATGTTAGGTTTGTTGAGACTTACCCAGTAGATCTGCGGGCGTCTTCTTGATCTGGACAGTGGCAAAAATTAGAATTGATCAAGAAATTTTCAGCTATTCCCTAATAAGTTCCTCTTTCTTTGTAGTATTTTAATGAGCTCCAGGTTGTAATCCCCTCCACCTTCTTTCCTAATGCTAATTTGAGATAAATATTTGAGATTAGAAGTGGCTCTGGATATGAAATGTGACTCTTAACCTCTATGCAACTTTCTGCTAATGACGTGCCATTAAGAAGTAGATTCATCTCTACTCCTGCAACTTGCAAGTGCCCAGCTCAAGTTACATTGGTGTCTTTAACAGAAGCAACATTTCTTTAAAGGATATGTCACTTTCAGATGCAAAATAGAAACAGCTGCATGCCTCAGACATCAAATAAAATCTACCCTCTGTGCATAAATGAGACCAAACTTTGAGGTTTGTATCTTTTAAAACTGAATGACTGCTCCACCTCAGCAACTAAGTAAGCACTGATAATAACATTATAATTCTTTTAATTCTGTTTCTCTTTTATTTACTTCCATGAAGATATTCATTGATGGAAGGATGGGAGACCTTCACTCTCTGTTAGATAATCTGCAGAGTTTTGGTCTCTCACTCTCTCTATTTTAAAGACTAAAGTGAATTTGCAAGCCAGATATTTGTTACATTTTTTGTGGGGATACAGAAACTTTCAGAACAATCTTACCATGAAGTCCTCCTGCCTCTTCAGATTATATTTTATAGCAGAATGGTGGGGAATTATGGGAAATATGTCCATAGACCTGCAAAAACATAGAATCACTATTATTGCATTTTTATTGTGTGATACCAAATGACTTATCCAAGATACTTGAGGAGGACCATCTCAAACAAACACATTTAAGTACATCTGCCTTAGGACACAATTAAACTGTGGCACCCTTTTGCCCAGTATCTTGTCTGGGCCAAAAGCTCAGACAGGTTCAAAACATCTGAGAAAATTCATGTAAGAAAAATCAATCAGCTTTATTAGATGTAAAAATGTAATTGCTGATTCAGCTGAGGCAGAAGTGTAGAAAGTGCGGACAGCTGGTAGCGAGAAATTTATACTAGGAGAAATATACCTGCCTGTCCTTGTGTTCTGCTGCTGTTCCCAGTCAGACACAGTGTACCAACCAGACTGAACTGCATGAGTCATTCTTGCTACGACAAAGGTCTAGGAGGTGGATCTCTCTCCTGGAAAAGAGGATGCTCAAAAGGTCTGCACTTCACAGCTGCTTTATGCACTGCTGCACTTGATAGTGTGAACAAAGTTCTTTGGTATATGAGCTGAGAAAATATATATAAAAGAAGGATGGTGGCAATATCTCCATATATAGTTATAATGATACGAAATTTCCATAGTTGCTTAGCTAGAACAGTCAAGAAAATGCATACAGAAAATTTACAGGATATCGCCATATTACTGAAAGTGGCTCAGTCGATGTGGATTAACCAGTCACTGATCAGCTTTTCTGTGATAACTGACTACATACATGCTCCCTGTCCATCCCAGCTTTGAAATCCAGGAATCACAGATACAGACCAGGATTCCAGTACCCAAACATTGTAGCTGTATGAGCAACATGTCATTTACACTTTCCAGTAGAAAACAACAAATCCAAAACAACGACTGTAAAGACATTTTTAAACATTAGCAACATATTGTACAAGTTGATATCCTATGTTAGCATTAGGGCATCTTCCCAAATGGGGATGCAGACTTAAGAGTTGTGTGGAGTTAGGAAGCTACAGGCATAAGCAAGAAGATATCTCTCCATCCAATTTCCCACTCCTTATTCTCCCTTCTCTCTCACTGCTGATATATTGTTATCTATAATAAAAGTCTCTTCCCTTAAAAGGATCTTTTTCGTTTTAAGCCAAGCAAAGCAGACATTTCTGTGGGAGCTGGTGGGTAGTGTTGGGGACTTAAGCTTTACATATACGATAAATATAGAAAAAGTAAAGGAAATATTTGGAATGTGGTAACAACTGAAGCTAGATAAATTCCAGTGGTCACCAGAACTAAAAGTTCTTTATGATAGGAACAAACAAAACAGACTGTAGCTGAATCTCTGGAGAATGGCTTAGATGCTACAAAGGAGGTGCTAAGAGTTAGGGGAAAGGCTTCAAAAGGGTTTTTTTTTTTTTTGAGGGGGGGGTGCCAAGAGCCCTCTTTCGCAGGGAGGGATAGACTAGCGTGGCCTCACCACGCATGTCCAGGTTGTGACACTGCTTGGACTCGTCCTCGAGGGCAGTGCAGCGAGGCGCTGCCTTCTCCCGGGACAGTGGCTGTGCCGGTAGCTGCTGCACGCTGCTGGGGACCCGCAGAGGCGCCCTCACTCACTCCCATCACCGCTGGCTCACAGCCCAGGAGCTCACGGGTTCCGCAGGACGTTCAGCACGTGGCTATGCTGCCTCCAGGCACATCTGGCTGCCCAGCTGCTGGGCCAGGCCTGCACTCAGGCTCCTTCCCGCCCCACCCGCCCAGCCCTGTGTCCCGCCGTGCACAAACCCAGCAAAGGGCTAGCGCAGCGAGGATGGCACTCGTCAGGGGTAGCGCGGTCGGTCTGGCTTTAGCAAAAAGTTACGTGAACAAATGCAACGACGCTGCTGATAGCTCATGGCGGTGTTAGGGGAGAGGCCTATGACTCTACTATTATTAGCGTAGAGGCTGTGTACACAGCGAGGGCTGGGGGCGGTGACACTCCCCGGCTCCAGCGAGCGCTCAGAGGGCGCTGGCGCCCGGGCGGCCGCCCCTCCCGGCCAAGGACCCCCGGGCCGACCGGCGCCCCCCTTCCCGCCCCGCGGCCAGCGTCTCCGCTGGCGCTGCCCGCAGAGCTCCCGCGATGGCCCCGGCGCTGCCCGGGGCCGAGGCGGCGGCGCGGCGGGGCGGGCTGGCGGCAGGGGGCGGCCCGCGGCCCGGCTCCGCCCCGGCGGTGGCGCGGCGGCAGGGCGGGAAGATGGCGGCGGCGGGCGGGGGGGGCTCGTCGGTGTCGGTGCTGGCCCCTGGCGGGCGGGTCACGGTGCGGGTAGGGCCCGGCACGGCGCTGCTGCAGGTGGGTGCGGGGCCGGCGGCGGGGCCGGGGCCGGCGGTGGCGGCGTGCGCTGACGGCGGCTTCTCTCGGCAGATCCTCGAGGAGGTCTGCAGGAAGCAGGGCGCCAGCCCCGACGAGTACGGCCTCAAGTGAGTCTCGCTGAAGGGGCGCTCCGGCGGGCCCCGCCGGGGGGGACAGGGCGGCCCGGCCGCGCCGCCCGCCGGGGAGCCGCCGGCCGCCTCGCGAGGGCAGCGCGCGGCGCCCGCGGCCTCGTCACTCCCCCGCGGCCTCGTCACTCCCCCGCTCGCCTCATGCCGCCATGGGGGCGGCTCCCCCTCCGCTCCCGCCGCCGCCGGGGCCCGGCCACCCCCCGCCGCCCGAGGATGGGGGGAACGGCCGCGCCTCGCTGGGACGGCATCCCCGCGGCCGCCGGGCGGCTGCTCACGGGCCCGGGGCGGGTTTTCCCACCCCCTGGAGATGGAAACGGGAATCCCGTGACCTCCCCACGCGCTGCCGCGGGGCTGTGTTTGACAGGGGTCATCCCCTCTCTCCTCGGCTTCCACTTGCTCCGCAGTAACCAAGAAGTTACCTCTGTGACCAGCACTAAAAGTTACTTTTGTTTTAGCATTGAATGCAGTGCATGAATGAGTATTGAGCTGTTGTTTATCTCTTAAATGTTAAATGTATATATATACACATATATGTATATATATATATGACTTTGTAAAATGTGCAGCCTCCATGAACTGCAGGTTTTTCATACACAGAATCTTTTTGGCTGCACATTGCAGTCTCCTCCGTGGCTCCTCACCCAGTGGGGAAGCTGCTTGCCCTGTAGGGCTGTGCAGCCTTCACGTGCTCAGAGTGCTCTGGTAGCTCGTGGTAATTCCTGGTGTCCTCATGGGCTTGTTCTCAATCCAGGTTTCAGAGAAGCATGTTGGATCTCTCCCTGCAGTGGAGGTTTGCCAAGCTGCCCAACAATGCCAAGCTGGAGATGGTGCCAGTGTCGTGTAACCGTGGGGGAATGGGGAGCACGGTATGTCCATTTCACAGCAAAACCTGGCTTATTTGCTCTTCCGTTATGCTGGATGTGATTAGGAGATAAAATGATCAGAGCATAGTGAGGCCAGTCCATGAGTGGAAGACCACCCAGAGAACAGTTGGGGGGAAGACAGTTTGGAATGATTCAGTAGCCAAAGTTCTCGCTTACCGGCCAGATGATGGTAGGTTTGCAGCTTTGTGCTAGATTGTCCTAATTTTTATTTCAGTTGTATTTCAGTATTTGGCAGTGGTTGAGTATGCCTTTTCAGTGCAACGTGGAAAATGCCGATGGATGCTTTATCTGCAATAATTTTTGTCACATTTACTCTTACAAGATTTAAAAATCTTTTTTATACATGTTATTATAGAACCCGCAAGCATAACTGTTAAAGCGTAATTGTTAATGAGTATTAAACATTTCATATGATATGATGAAAAGGGTATATGATCTCGTTTAAGCAGCCTGCAAATGAAGATTTGCAGCAGTCCCTCTTCTTACTGACTTACCTACTACAGAGTTTCTCAGATTTGAGGAAGGCTGTTAATACTAATTTCTTTTGTCTGTCTTCTGAGTTGTATTAGTCTGATTTTGTTACAGGCCGTTGCCTTATCCAAATATTAGCTAACACGTATGCTGAAATGAGACTTTTCTGGGTTGCGAGGTTTTGAAACCTTGGTTCTCCTTTATTGTAGGGTTGTTTTTAGGATCCTATTTCCTATGTAGAGAAATATGGATCTTGTGTCTGTATTTCTCTCTGTAAAACCCCCTTCTGTTTTGTTTTGTGCACTAATGTTTTGTTTTTGACTTTGTGTCAGAAGGACGTTTGATCTCCAAATGATACACATAATCAAAAAAACAAAAACAAGAACAACAACAACAAAAAACAAGGTTAGCAGCATGTGCTGTGATTTTTAGTTCCAAGGGATAATGATTGCACTAAGTTTCTGTTCCAGAGGGAAACGATTCTGTCAGAATGGTATGGTGATGACTTTATCTGACATGTGCATCCCGTCTGAGGGTTTCTGTACTGAAGGAAAACAATTTATTTCTTCTTTTTCAAGAAGATATACACAGTATATGAGAAAGTGTGGGAAGGACTGTGTATATAATAAAGTGCATAACTTCGAATCACTACTTGGGTTGCAGAAGAAAAGAGCTAATGAAGGTTCAAGTTGTTGCTCTTACACTGTGTTTCAGCAGCCATGTCTGCAGGAGGACGGCTTTCCTTGAACTGTTTGTTGCTATTTTTAAGAGTTTAAAAAAAATATCAGTGTGTTTGTCAAGAGTCAGTCTAAACAATTCCTGCCCCGTAAACTTAGAACAGAGATCTTGGAAGAATTTTATGGTTAATGCCAGAAAATAATTGTACAAAATACAACTGACAACAAATTTTCCCTTGCCATAGGGAATCGATATTGAGTACTGCAGGAAGTTTTAAACAGCTATATAACTCCATGACTAGAACTGACAGTGGTGTTATGCCCTAACGCAAGGGCAATTAAACTGTGGGCTCAATCACTCAGGCTCGTGGTGGTGCTTTTGTGACCAGCTCCTTTATTGAAATGATATTCATGGAAGTAGAGGTATTTTCCTGTGGAGCGTTTGGCAGTAGGGAATAGACTACAGATTTTGATAAATCATGTGTTCAGTAGATCTGATACTAAAAAAAAAAGTTTTTAGATTTGCCACTTTGTGTAAAAAATCCTTGATTCCTGTAAGACATGTCTCTAGTGAAAAGCTGAACAAATTTCCCTTGAAAAAGCAGGTGATCTAGGGCACCAACAAATACAGTCTAGTGATGAAGCCATTAGCCTCTTGCTTATATATTTGTAAACTTAGCAAATAATTGGCTCTGGTCTCTGTAACATTTGATATAGAGCTGGGGATTTTTAGAAAGACTTTTATTTTCTAATTGACTGAATATGATTTTCATGACAAGCTTAGCTTTGAACTGTTGCCCAAAAACTGATGCAACTGGTGTTCTGAATTTCGGGGCTGGCTTCTTATAGAATGGTGATGTCAGCTGTCATCACTCTGCTGTAGCAGAGACTAATCTGAAGCTTGTCTTCAGCATCGAAAAAGCATGAGGTCATGTTAGTGATGAGATGAAACTGCTTAGTTCTCTTGGCTAGTTGCTGATGATGCCACTGTTTCCTTCATGCAGAAAAAATTGCTGGCTGCAACAGATGACAGTTTGCAGCCCTGTGAATGAAGGAGCTGGGATAGCCGACAATCTACCAGGGCCATCACTGTAGATTGGTGTCTATTTATTCATATTTCTTTTTCTTTTTTTTTTAATTAGAACTGTCAATAGCAGCAAATAGATTTAGCAGGGCGTAACAGCTGTCCCTTGCCTTCTGTTTCAAATGCTGTCTACAGGTGTTTGAGACCATGGTAATTGAAAGCCAGAAATTATTTTGTGATTTTATTTTAAATTGTGTGTTAAAATTTGGTAGCTAAGAAGCATTAGAGAGTTGCAAGTTACACAAATTTCGGACTCAATAGTTAGGTCTTCAAACTTTTAAATAAAACAGGATAGATTTGAAGCATGTTCATTGTTTCTCTATGTAGATGTGCAAGTATGCCCTTCCTTCTGCCTCGGGGAAGTTCTTTCCCAAATCAGTGCTTATTCTGAAGAGCTCTATGTTGGTATTTCAGTTTATGCAGCTGCATCAATGAGTTCATGACCTTCCATCTGGGTTGTTGGAATTCATTCTGTATAGCTGTGAAATCTCTTTCTGTAAAGTTTCAGCTAGTGTAAAACCAAAACATCTCAACTCCTTGTGAAGACTCAAGATATGAATCCATTATTTGGGATTCTTGTATTGATCATTCTCTAAACAGAGTTCAGATGAGGATCTGACATTTTAATCAGCTTTCTCTGAAACTGAGATATGTTACGTGAGGTTTTATTCTCTTCTTCAGATAGTGATGCCACCTTTGCACATCCTCCTAGAACAATGCTTAAGCTGAAAAGTGCTGAAAGAGTGAGTGAACATTCAGAAAAGCAGATCTCACATTTTGGAACTGAGTGCTACAGAGGAAATAATGATTCCAGTATTAATTTTATCCTCAGCTGAATGCAAAACTGCTATAATTAACTCTTCTCCCTGCTTCCATTTTCACTTAATTCCGTGTATTTTCCTATAGGTTCGGATTGCATTACATTTAGATGATGGCTCTCGCTTACAAGATTCCTTTCTTTGTCAACAAACTTTATGGGAGGTTTTCAACCATTTTCCGAAGACCAGGTGAGCACTGCAAGGAAAAAAGAAATCTATTTTGAATGTATTCCTGCATGACAGCGGCTGGTTGTCATTAGAGTGATCCAGTTGAAACCTGCGTATTTGTAAAATTACCCTTTATTTGCCTGTATTTTGCCTTTACAACACACACAGTTATCTTCCCTTGCTCTTTCATATTTGGCAATCCATAGTTTCATTATTATTTTTAGATTCTGGAGTAGCACTTGTGCTTCAAGTCATAAACTGTTAAGAAATTGCTAAATTTGGAAGAAACTATACCCATATACATTACTGCACCTATCTTTTATACAAACTTCTTTAAGTGCATGGTACTGCCAGAAATGAGAAATTAGTCTAGACCAACTTAGTCACCAGCTCTGTATTTCAGCTCTCTAGGTCCAGGTGATGGGAGGGTGATGTTCATTCAAGATATTATGACTTTGGAGGCTGGGATTTATATAGGTTCTTTTAGAATCTAAAGTTCTCAGGAGGTTATTGTGGTGTCCTCAAATGGGCTGATTAGTTCCCATGTGAATAAAAGTACTTTTAGTCTATTCTTGATCTCATGTTCTACTTAGGTTTACATTTGTTACACATACATGTGGGTTAAAAGTCTTCTTATTTGAGTCCAGTCTAATTCAGTGCTTCATTTTCTCTTTATTTTTGACTTAAAATGATGTATTGTTTTAAAATGTCAAGCAAATAAACTCTTTTTCAAAGGCTTTCTTTTCCTGCACTGTGGCTTGAAAGACAATTTTTAAGCTGTGACAGCCATTCTATTTTGAACAGAATTTCGACCTTTTTTGTTATGTGTGCATTTATCTATCTTGGGATAAAACATCTTTTCAATCCTGTCTTTCTAGTTTGTTCTTTTGCTTATATTTCTCACTTTCTGACAGTTGCTCCAGGCTATTTTTAACTTGACTAAAGAACTTTTTGCTTCTTTTGTTTTTGAAGCTTTTACTTCACTGTACAGATACTGGGTAACAGTATTGTGTAACTGGGAGATATTTTTGTTAATTTCGGAAACCACTGAAATACTTTTCTGAAGTGCCTGTGGGCTTCTGTGTCAGAGCTTCTAAGTCTCCATGGCTGTGGTACTAATAAATCTATGAAATGAGTGATCACCAGGAGTGATGGGGCGGTAATATTCGGATAAGCCCAAACTTTTAGAATACAGGTACAAGATGCAAAATGATGACTCATCACCTGGTAGCTGAGCCATAGCAACTGACCAGTTACAGATGTGTTTTAGCCTGCATTGCAGGCTAGTATGTAGTAGTATACATTATAAAGTTGGTTATTCTGCAGTGGTACTGAAGTAGGCTAAAAGCACAGGTGGCCATGTACTGAGGGGTTAAACTGACTGAAAGCACTGCCTTAGATCAGGGAAGCACAGTTGAGTTGTGTGTCTGGAGCTGTTTCCAGGGCGCAGAAGCCACATCTTCCAGCCTTCCATTGGGGGGCTGTTGCCTTTCTGCCATCTTAGCCCAAGTCTGCCTCATAACGAGGTCAAAGAAGTGCCTAGTGCTGGCCCAAGAGAGGGAGGCAGGTGTAGGAAACAGGCTGACACAATTTTAGGTGTCAGGAGTGGATTGAACAGTTACTATTTGCTTCCAGCTCTCCTTTCTAATTCCTCTCTGGTTTGGTGACAGTAATTGCATAGCTTTGTGGGGGAATTGGCATCAGTTGGCTCAATTCAGGTGAAAAGTAGTATTTTTCCTCTGCGCTACTTCTCAGGTAGATCATTTTCCTCATCCAGTTCGCATTTGTCTCTCATAGACAATTGTGAGGTTTGTAGTGTGTTTGAAACAATGATGCAAAACAGGGAAGCAGCATGATGGACAGAAATGGCTAATATCAGTATTGCTACTCATTGTTTTGTGTTATCCCTCAAACCATAATCTGAGTAAATGCTTGAGGTAGTCTGGTGAGCCCAGAAATACATAAATATGTTTCTTATTCTCCTTTTGAGGTAGGGAAGAGGAAAGGAGTAGGCAAGAGGAGAAATGGGGATATGGAACCCAGGTATATTTTTTTCTGGATATTTTTAAAACTCCTGTTATACATTACAGTATACTTATCCCTATGGGAGGAAGTACCTGTAGCATTTTAGGAACTGCTAAATTGATGTGGGGGTCATTGTGATTAGTGATAAATAGTCCTTATTGTGGCTTTCTGACACATTAGTTGGCATTTCCTTGGTTTAAAATTCAAGCTTTCTTATGTAATTTTGCTCCTTTGGAGTATTTTTATATGTAATAGGTTATTGTAACACTACTAGTTAAAGTGCGTATTGCTCTTTGAAGAATTTAACTGCCACAGAGTGCTAAGCATTATTAGTTTCAGTTCATAAGTTACAGCTGTTCTTTTCTACCCCTGGAAGCTGAGTTCAGATATTTGGATGATATTTGCAGACTTATTAAATTTTAAATGAGTAGCAAAGCTGCTGGGGGTGACTTAATCAGTGAACTGATTCTATATAGCCACTGTATAGGTGTCACGAGCTGCGCTGCTCTTTGGTATGTACTGACTTAGCTGATTAACTAGTCAACTAGTTGTTGACTTTGCTGAATCCTTCCTTGGACTTTCCAGTTGGAGACATTTTCCTGGAATGCTTAGCTGCTCTAAGTGCGTGAGGGGAAGTATGCTAAATCCACTGGAATTTCCCTTGGGTCTCCAGCGTCCATCTTGGCTAATTGGGTATGAAGAAGGTCTGGAAGCTATTCTAGGCTGCTCCTCCTCTCAGCGTGCGGCAGTCCTTGCACAAGATGTTTACAGGCCCTGTCAGATCACTACATGAAGGAATCTAATCTGCCTGCCGTTCCCCTTCTGAAGAACAGCACATCAAAGAAATGACACTGTGTTTGATGTGTGTGCTTGCTTCAGTGAGTGCATGTAATGGATTAGCAGCAGCTGGAGGAGGAGCTTCCTGGCTTCCAAGAGTTATACAAAAATAAGTCTCTTGGGGATACTTGCTTTGAGTCTGTTCTGCAGAGCCTGGTTGAGGGCACTAGTGATGTACATACACCCTTTTAGCACTGGGCATGGGAGCAGGGTTGCTTCTCTGTCTTACACTCTTGCCGGTCTGGCAGCTTCAGCACCTTTGTGAGACTGTTTCACATAGTGCTTGCAACTGCAGACAGCTTTGGCAATGGCTTTCACTCTTTGTTATTTTTGCAGTATTGTTTGGTATATTCAGGTATTTTTCCACACATTTCTAGAAGGTTTTTTAATCTATTTTATTCCATGGATTGAAGTAGAAAGAAGTTCTGGAAAGGTGAATGAAGTGAGCAAGTTGAATTAGTTTGCCCTCTTATGGCCCTCTGTCTGAGGATATGTGTTGCATTGTGCTTCAGCTTCTCTCTTCCTAAATGGTGGCAATTCACCTTTCCAGATAGGCAATTTGAGGTTTAAGCTTTTGTTTCTCTGGCTGTTTTTGCTCCTTCCTGTGCTTCCAGAGAGCTTCAGACTATAAACAGTCTGTGTGGTTTTCTCTGTATGTCAGAAGTTTTGTGTACTTCTGTCTAGCTTTCCTTTTGAAAATGTATCAAATGTTCCTTCCCCAGATGCAGAAGGATGCATGGATGTAGCTAGTCCTGCTTGGAAGCATCAATGCTAGCAATAAGGTTTAGGTGATTAGCTGCTTGAGAGTGTCTAGAAAAGCCTAAGCGTACATAGAGTGCTACAGTTTGTTCATAATTCTCATATGGTTTGTTAAAACAACTCTCTCATTTTTTTCCATTCCTGTTTAGTTTGCCTTCCTCACCCTCTTTGGCTTACCTGCGCTGTCAGTGCTGCTCCATCTTTGCTGTTGGATTTGTGTTTCCAGGATTCTCTTTCCAGCTGCTCATTGTTTGCTTAGCAGTCTTTCAACAAACTCCATTCTCTGCTAGGAACCTGATCTCTGGATTCCTGCAGTGTTGTATGCAGCTTCTGTCCTTGGTAGTGGATAACTGAATGCAGAACTCCCAAGTCAGGGCAGAGCGTTCTAATTCTTTTTTTTTGTAGCTGTTGATGCTGAGTTAGGAAGATGATAATTTTTTCATAGTCTAAAGATTGAGTATATGAGTAGGATGCTGTGGGTGCATCTCATTTATGTCCTGTAGGAGGGAAGTTGGTGTGTTGGTTGGAAGAAGTGTGTTCCAAAAACTGGGATCTGAATATAATCCCACAGTGACCTGCTGCAACTAGCCTGAAAGCAGTTATCAGTCCCCAACTCTGCCAAATCAGAACCGTCCCTCAGGACTGGTTTTACGTGTCGTTGTGTTTGTCTTTGTTATCTCTGTGGAAGAACAGCAACTGGAGCTCTTTGGTTTTGTTCTGGCTTGCCTTGTTCTGTATCACAGTGCTATTGCATGATTTATTTAGAAAGGCTTAGGTTTTAACTTTGAGATGAAGGTTGAAGATAGACTGCTACAATTAAAACAAACTGGGATCTCAATTCTGGTCTGTGCTTAACAGGTTTGCTCCCCCACATCCCTCCCTCTGGAATTCTTTGATGTGTTCTTGCACCTAAGGATTACTCAAGGATTTGAGTGTCGTAGTTTTCCAGGTGTCTGCCCCAATTCTGAATGACTTCTGGTTCCACCTACCTCACGTTTCTTTGAAGCTTAGTTTTAAGTCTAAATGTAAATATCCGTGATGAATTTTCCTGGAACCTTACGGCTGTTTCCCTTCTGTTTTTGCTCTGTAGACTGGTTGACTCTTTCCCTGCTCAGTTTGTTTTGACACTTTCTACTGGGATAAATAGATTAATGTTAATATTATGCAAGACTCTGATTGTACATAAATATATATATATGTGTGTGCATATAGTATAGACAGGGAGAGTGTTTTAACTAATGGAACTCCATTCATTAAACTCCTTCCCAGGAGAGTTGAAAAGAGCCTAGCTTTGATCACTGTAATTAAGTCGTTTTGTTATAATCTTCTGTTCCCACCTCAGGTATAACATCCACAAATTAAAAGAAAAGATAGAGCAAGTCCCTGGAAGTACAATTTTGAGATACAAGAAGTACATTAGGCATAAGCAGTCTGAGTTGATATTTCAGTTCTGTGGCACTTGGATACTAAGCTGAGAAATGTTTCACAAATGTGCTAAGGGGAATGTGTGGCTGTGATTGTCTCTGCAAAGTACGAACAATGCAGAGAAACTGTTGAAGTGGGAATATTTTGCTATAACAAATTGCTGTAACAAACTTGTATTCAGAGAAAAAGACTGCCTTTTTTTTTCAAGCTGCCAGATCCTGAAGGCTTTGCTTTTTCCTGTAGTTGTCTACAAAGACTAGAATCAAATAGTTGAAGAGACTGTTAAGTGTGAGTGTTTACATAACTCTTTAAGAAAGCCAATTACAAAGATTTGCTTGAATTTAGTAGCCAGCATGGGTAATAGAGCATAAAATGTCAAGCTGAGTTCAGGGACTGGCTTCTGCCTCTTTTGTCAGAGGCCTGGGGAGTGGAGTATCTTGGGCTGGCAGGTGGACTTCATTAGCTGTTTTGTAGCAAAGGGTCTGTTCAAGTAGCAGGTGATGGGTGATTGTTTCCTGCTGGGGTGAGGCATAGGAAGAGCCCGTCTTCTCTGAGGCTGGACTACAGAGAGTACTGAGATCAAGGGATTTTACAATGGAGAAGAATTTAAGCTGTTTTGCTTTTGATGGTAGAACAGCTGTTGCAGTACAGATGGGACTTACTAGCTCGTTACTGAGCGATCTTCTGGCTATAGCTGGAATGACATAGAGCTCTGCACAGAACATCTTAACAGTAACTGCTGAACATCACAGCATTAGGGAAAAGGATGGGTCTCATGAACTCTCACCATGTTCTTGGGGAATATCCTCAGGCAGCTTTTTCACCTTTTGTGGTTTCTCCTGCTGGGTTAGGCTGACAGTCAGAATTCAAAGCCTTTGAAAAAAAGGATTTTGAGAATTCAACCATCTTTCCAAACTGCAACTGTCCTCAGGATGGACAATCTTCTCCTGGTCACCTTTTGGCATTCATGTGCTCCAGGGGGAGAAGCAATCTATTCTCCTTCATCTGCTGGTGCTTCACCACATTCTCAGCTGATTTCAATTTGAGTTGCACTCTGATCATCGAAAGGGGGCCTAACATGAAAGAGATTCTTTCTTCTATTGTTGAATCAACTTGTCTCACTGATTTCAGTGATTTGGTATAAAGTACTGCTGTTACTACTCTCTAACCAAAATTCTGGTCTGTAGCTTAACCAGTATTACCAGTACTAGCATTTTACTTAATGAAAGGTGCAGAAAATGTTTGGCAGCTATTTGTTTAGAATTGATAGAGGCTTTTTTCATTATTTTTTAACTCCAATTTGATATAGAATAACTGATATCTGATGGAATTCTGAGCTACTGAGGGAGATGAGAATAAGCCTGTACTACTTTCTTATGTATGCCCTCTCAGTAGAGGGGTTGTGCAGAACACATTTGGCTCTGCATAAAATGGGAACTACACTACTGAATGAGTGAATAATCTTGGATGTAAACTGAGAATTGCAGTGACACAGCGATTGTTTTTTTTCCTGTACATCTTCTCATTTTGATCAAGAGAATATATGACAGTTTCTTAAGAATTTGTTATCTTGAGAAAAATAGGAAGACTAGCATTCTTTAAAATTTTTCTTTTTAGTCTCTAGATACAATTCTGCTCCCATCTCTGTATTATGAATCCTTCATTTTTAAGTCTTCCTCTGCAAATGACCTGTCATCAGCTTGCATCGTTACTGATGTTTTCTACCTCACTGAAATTCTAAACTGTGGCTTATCTTTACTTAGACTACTTCAACAGCCTTTTATTTATTTATTTTTTTTTTTGTCCCTGTCTCCATAATCAAAAAACATTTGCTGTCTTCTTGTTTTTTAAAATGAATTTGTTACTAAAACAGACAAATTCCTTGTCCTCAGATTATTTGCTTTAAAGCAGTGCTTCACTCTCTTAGGTGCCATGTATACACAGAAAGTGACTGGTCCTTGCCCAATGAAAATATAATCTAAGCTGTAATAAACTAAATAGGTTAGATAAAAGGTTAAAAAATCGAGTAGCATTATGTCATGTTAGATACTGAGTAGCTAAAGTACAGCAACAGTGATGTTCTGAAACTTATCCAGTAAGATCAACTTATCTTAGATTTTGACTTGAAGAATTGTTTCCCCTTTATTTTTAAAACTTTTTCAGGGCTGTGTTTACGGAATACTAGATGTGTTGGAGCAAGTACTTTACCTAATGTCCAATATTGGTTTTGTGAAATGTCTAAGGGCTGTTGCTGGAGTTGCAAGTAGGAGAGTGTACCTAGCTAATTTTACTTCTAACTATTTCTTTACAGTGGTTTCAGAGGGGATATATTGCTCTACAGGTGCTGCAGATTATTTTGCTTTTTATTGCAGAGAGTTTATGGAACAGCATGGTGAATTTTCTCTGGTCTGTATTTACATGCGAGATGAGGTAAGTCACCCAGCTCTTCTTAGCTGACTCTTCTCCTTCTCTTCCCCTCATTAAAAAAAAAAAAAAAGAAAAGAAAAAAAAAAGAAAAAAGGAAAAATAACCCCACCAACATAAAAACAGCAAAACCACCAGCATTCAGCTTCATTTTTCCAACCTGGAAAATGTTTCCTCTGAGCTTTCTTGAGAGGGGAACTAGAAAAACTTTGGTCTCTTTAAAGCTTGACGTGTCTGTATGGAAAAAAGCTCTCTTGGAACTCAACCTTGGGCCGTTTAGACCTCTGGACCCATAAAATAAGCTCAATGACCTGTTTGTGTTTTTCTTTCCAACTTCTTTTAAAGCTCAAGAGTCAAAACAGTGGTTTCATTTTAATAAATATTTGCTTTTCTCTGTGTTTTGATCTTTTGCTATTAAGGTTTTTATGTTTTTAATATTTTGTGTGTGTATATTATGGAATTTGCTCTCCCTAGCGTCCCTTTTACTTCCCACTGACCTCTGTGGACAGGTCATCTTTATTCTGGAACAGGTCACAGTGAGCAGATGGGAGGTATATGCAATGAAATCTGCTACCTTTAAGGTCTGAAATGTTGCCTGTGGTTTAAGTTCTGATATAGAAAGAATCTTTTTCTGATCTTGGAGGTACATATGGAACAGAAATATATGTAGGTTGTCTTCTATCAGAACCTTTTAATAAGTAGGGAATTTGGTAAAGCAGTACGGGTAAATATGAATGGATTCAATTCTCATTTCCAAATACAGAAGGAGTGTCTTTGAGCTCTTTCTGATGTGGTCTTGTGCTTATTTTGATGCATGCTTCTTTCAATAGAGCTCTTTAGTTGCCCTCTTGGGTAGCAGTTGTTATGAAGTGTTTCCTCCATTTTTGTTGCAGATAACGGGAAAAGATGCCCTAAGGAAGACAACGCTGAAGTCACTTGGTCTGACTGGGGGCAGTGCCATCATCAGGTTGGAAGGAGCAAAGCTTGGGGCACTTTATTTTTCCTTTATTTTTTACATAGTGGTGGATTTGTTTTGTTTAAAGTACCCAAAAATGCATTGAAGTTCAAAAAGACAAACATCGCGACATTCAGTAATTGTTACATTTGCCTGTTTATCTAAAACTGCTGCCCAGATGTGCTTCCCACAGCTGCATACGCTGGCACTGAGCAGTTGTATGCAGATTAAAGGGGCTTGTTTAGTTTCTTTCCTGTGAGTGAGACAATTCAAATTTAGTCTTGTCTCCATGACTGAGGAAACAGAATCTACTACATTCTTGCTTGCTTTAAATTCCCAGTCCTTGCAGTGCCTCCTGCTGCCTGGTTGAGAGGGTGAGGGACAATGAAAGCTCTTCTGCGATCTTTGCAATAGATACTGGAGGTGAGGGTGATGAGAGCGTGTGCTTTTTAGCTGACTGCTGATTCTTCCTGGAAGGCAATTCCTCTCCTGTGGAGAGGGTAGTTCCTGTTCTGTTTTTCTGGAGTCCCCTTTCTCCTCTTCATAAACTTGAGAGTAGTGAGAACTTGTTCTTGAGAATTTGAGAATGACTGGAAGATGCAGATTAAATTTAGGGGTATATTTGAGTCCAGCTGTCTCCTTTGTTTCATAGTCATATTAGGAAAGGGGAAGACAGTGTTCTTAGGATAAATGATTTTGATTTTATTCCTTTTTGTATTTTCCTTAAGGGTGGTTTTGAAGAAATGCTCTTCCTCTAGTCAGGAGGAGGCCGTGGATTCCATGGTCCAGTGTAATGAGCTGACAGTGAGTGCTGGCTCCACCGAAGCAGCAGTGGCTGTGCCCCTAACTCAAGCACATGCTTTCCCAGAGGGCTTGGACCATAGTGCTGTGACCTCATCTTTACATAACTGCAAAAACAACCAAGACTTCATAAGAGAATCTCATACCAGCTTGGGGGAACTGTGTCCTCCCTTGAAGCATGAGTGTGCTGCATTTGTCCATTTTTCTGGAGAAGGACAATGTCTGGAGGACTCTCCTGAGGCTGCAGCATCTCCTGGGTCAGACAAGCCATCTTCAAAGCTGCCAATATCTTCCTCCAGCCCTGGAGGCCCTTCTAGGCCAAAGAAATCTAAGAACAGCCAAGAATTACTAAAGGAGCAAGAACAGGTAAGGGAAAAAAAAACATTTGCAGAACATTTGCCAAGAGAGATTTTTAATTGTGCCTTGCCCTGCTAGGCCAAACACCTAAGAGGGGAAGGATGCTTCAGAATTTAGGATTCACCTCTCTCCCTCAAACATAATTTAAGGTCAGGTGTCTTGGTGGCATACAGTTCTGATGAGTTCAGTAGGAAAGTTTTGCATTTAGCCTCATTACTATGAAGAATGGGAATATGGGAATTTGTATGCTGTTCAGAGGCAAGCAGAGCTTTGATACTGCATTAAAAGTGCCATCTGGAAGAGTCTCCGTTTCTGTGTCTCGGATTCCATGCAGAGCTAAATTTCATTACCAAGTGTTCCCTTTGTCACTTGAGTGCTTGGCGTTTTCTAACTGCTGTTTACTGTGTAGTTTTGCGGAAGATGAGCAGAATTTGGCTAGACTTGTATTTTCTAATACTCTATACTTGCTGCTTTTTGTGACTTATTTACCTTCTGCTTGATAAAAGTTTGGTGGAGTTCTGTATGCAGAAAAGGAAGCCTTTCTGGCCAGATGCTGGATTGTGGTCTTAACAGGTTAGTTGTAGCTCGATCCCATGCCTACCACATACTTCTGCGACAACTGGATCTGAACAGAAGATCCTCACAATTTCTAGCTCTGAAGTTGTTGAGTGTACTCAGGTTTCTTGTCTGAGACTTTCTGTGGAACACAAATCTCCATATTCAAGCTATTCTAAAAGCAGTTTCCCATGCTGATGAGTAATTAAAATTTGTTTCCTCATGTTTTTTTTTCTGTATGCCTTTGCTTTGACTTCTGGTATAATTCTTTTGGGGACAGTAGTAGAATACAAGGAGTTTAGATACAGGAAAGGATTTTTTCAGCTACAGATGTATCACTTTTGCCAAAGAGGTCTGAACCTCTTCCCTGCCTCTTCCCTATAGTCCAATCCTGTGGCTTCTCTGAGTCTTAATTTTCTTAGAATTGTAGATTTTGCAGAAATCATCTGTCATCATCTGTCTCTTCCCTCTATATCTATTTTGGCTTGCATCTAAAAGCGTTTTCTGTCCTATTGTAAATACTTTACTCTGTATCTAAAGTGTACCTCCCTTTAGTCCTGCTCTGAGAAAGAGAGGTGCTACATTTGCCGGCATTATTGGTGTCTCTGAGTTGAAGATGAAAGTTAAAAATAACCCACATAGATGTAACAGAAGAAATGGCTCTTCCAGTGCTGTGGTGCCGCCACAGGATGATCTTTGAATGCAGTCAGGCATACTTTCTGCAAGGCAGCTATATGAAATGCAGTGCCTAAAGCAAGGTTGGATATATCTGGCAAGTAAGCTAAAATTAAGTAAAATATGGTCACGTTACTGTTTGTCAGAGATTCCTCAAAATCGACTTTGTTCTATGTGCTTGGTGCACACATCACCAGGGATAGCTTTAAAGTCGAGAGATCTCCTTCGTTGTTTCCCACTCTTCAATGGCTCCTACAGCAAGAAGTTCTTAACTTTGGTTCTGATTTACCAAAGAGATTAAACAATGGAAAACCTAGGGAGGAAGAAAGGATGGCTGAGATTCAAAGGGAGCTTGATGCAATAGGAACGTAACAAAGATGTGTGTTTTCTCTCACACAAATGCGGAGACTCTACCTTGGTTGACTTCTGTGCAGCTGCAGCCTATTCTTGTTGGATTTCTGAATTGTTTAGGAGCAGAAGCCAGACACTGGAAGGACTAGATTGTAAATACATCAGAAAGAGGTCCTGCCAAGCCGGAGGTGAATATTTGAGTATGTCTGAAATACATTGAAGTCCATCTGATCAATGTTTTGTAACCTTCTAAAAAATACTGTGAATATATATAAAGAGCAGTCAACATGTCCAGCCTACTGTATTGTTCCCTTTAATCATGTTCTCATCTATAAGGGTTTTGGAAAGGGCTCCCCCTTTGTCAGCTGAGTCTGACAAGGAAGGAAAGAAGAGTGAGAGGGTTTGGAGCTGTCTTCAGCGGTCCTGCTGTCCTCACGTCTCCTCAACTGCCTTTATTGTTTTGCTGGCTATAGCTTTATGTGAAGCTGTGCTGATGAGCGTGGAGCTGAACAGTGGTGGCCTGAGGATTCCAGCGTATTTCTCAGAATTTCAGTCCAGTTCAAACCACTTAGAGGCACTTCTGTAGCCAGCCTCCCTTCCAGTGTGAAAGCAGCTTTGGAAGCAGCTGCAGATTCTGTTGAGGGGGTTCTGCCCTTGTGTTAAACAGCATGTGATTTTTGACTGCTGCTTTCAAGCCCTTTGATCTCTCATGCTTTTGCTGCTGATTGATTACATTTTGTTCCCTCCTCCATTCCTGCCATCCTTCGCTCTCCTTACTCTCAGCAGCAACATAAGAGCAGGGCTAGCCACATGGCATCTGCTTTTTGTCCCTCTTCAGTCCTGAGGAAAAAAACCAAAACAAAACAAATTATTTTTAAACATCAAAGGTCCATTTTTGTAAAAGAATCTTCCCATTAATGCTTTGCCTGTGTGTGGCTTTTGGAGTTGAAGAGAGAGACTGGATAAAATCTGTGCTGGCGTCCCTTCATTTCTTGGGCTGAAGATGGTTTACAGACAGCTGCGTGCTGACTTTGATGTCAGAACACTAATTATTAGAAGGTAACTTTACACCAGATTTCCCCGGAGATCAGAGCTCCCCGAAGTGGTGAGGAGGAGGTGGCTCTTCAGGGAGAGCTTCCTGCAGGGGAAAGCACAGTAGCCACTACTTTGCTAAAAGATAAAGGTGGGTTTTCCTCAACTTAACCTGATTACGTAAGGCTGCAGTAGAGTGAAATGTACTACCGTAGAGTGAAATATGTTCTTCCTGACACCTGCCTCTATTACGTGGACTGGAATTATGTAGACTGCTTAGAAGACACTGCTGTGAACAGATGGCTTCAGCCCGCTGGTGAGAAGTGCTTACCATTTCAACTTTCGTAGAAGAGGAGACTTCGAAGAATTGATATTTTGGGAAGATGACAAACCATAATGTAGTATCTTTGACTCCTGAAAGATAAATAGCTTTCTTTTCTCCTGAGTTATATAATAGAAGATAGGAATAACTTCATGGTGGCCATTTAGTATTAATAGAGATATTTAGCTTTGTTGCAGTTGCAGAAAATACCGGATGTGGAGTGGGAAAGAGATGGTACATGGAGCAGATTCTTTTTGCAAGTTTATGTGGGAAGGTGGTTTTCAGGCTCTGTCTGTACTTGAAGATCATTAGTAACACATGATTTCTGGACTTTGGGGAAACAGAGTTATTGAGCAACAGAAACAGATAGCTCTTTCTGTCTTAAGAGTGCTCCTGAGGGCTGTATGAAGTGAGAAGCACAGGTGATTCCTGCAGTGCGGAATACACAGCGAGGAGGTGTGATGACATGGCAGGTTTGTGCTGTCTGAGGCAGCATGGCTGCATCTGCTTGATCGTGAAGTGGTGGATTTGCAGCAAACACTGCTGCTCTTTTCAGAGCAGAATCTGTGGTACAACCCTGGAAATGAGTTGCAGAAACTCTGAAGGAAAAAAAAATGTTTAGGGGCCCTCCCCCCGAATTATATTCTATAAACTCTCTTATTACAGCTCTCTCCAGAGCATTGAATCCTTTATTGGGAATTAGCTGACAATTTAAAGTTAGGGAATTCTTACTGTATTTCTTTTCTTTTTGTGGTCTACTACTCTTTCCTCTATACTGAAAAGTATGGCTTTTCATTCTGAGTAGTTGCTAAGTAATTTCTTTTAGTTATATATGTTGGAAGGTAAGATACTCAGCAATCAGTGCTGGTTGAGGAAAGAGTGAGATAAAAGTATGGACTCAAGAGGCCAGAGGGGAGCTAGCTGTGTGCCTGTGCCGGGCAGCGCAGGTGTGCAAGAGCAGGGCAGTCCTGTCTGGGATGTGGAAGATTTTGTTCCACAGCTCTTACCCAGTCTTGATAGACTGGAGAATTGCTCTAGCAGGGGAAGTTCCTGATCACCAGTCTTCAGTGAGAACCAGTTTGTCTGAATGGAGACATTTGGAAAGTGACAGTTGTGTAATAATTCCAATGCACAAAAGCCCAGACAGTCAACAGGCAGCGGGAGGAGAGGTGAACGCTTAGGATTGGGATGTATGGCTGCTGTCCAGTATCCTGTGATTTCTTTAGCCACTACCCTGGTTTGGCTAGTGACTGACTGTTTTCCTCTGGAATCTTGCTACTGTTAATGTTTCGCTGAAGTGCTTGCTCGAGCCAGTTATTAAATGATAAATTTAGGATTTGTTAATGCAGACACTGAAATTCTCTCCATTGTATTTCAGCATCTTTTGCAATACACCACAGGGCATGTCCACTCAGTCTTTTCCTCTAGAAGAAGAAATCTCTTCATTAGCCTGGTGTTCAAGAAAGGTGTGTTCAGAGTGAATGAAACTCAAGGCTGCATGGTTGGGGAGAGTTGACTGCCCTGTTCTTCTGCCTGCAGCAGCTAGAACTTGTGCAGCAGGCTCTTTCCCAGAGGGTGGCTCTGCATGCTCAGGATCACTTCTTCACACACGCAGCTCAAGGAGCTATACCACTCTGGGCATTCTTTCCCCCTGAACCCAGGGAAAGCTGCAATCAGGCTCCTTCACCCTCTAGTTAGAGCTGACTCCACTCAACTTTCTAAAAGTAGACAAGGGTCCCACCCACACAACCTCGCTCTTTTAATTTCTCAAATTATCCTTTAGTGCCTACAAATAGAGTGAATTTTGCCTTGTAATTTGTGTTGTCTCTTTTGACAATTGAGGGAGACTCCTGTTCCAGAGGGGCCTGTGCCTGGGAGAAGGAAAAATGGATGGAAAGTAGAGAAAAGAACCTTCAGGCATTCCTTCATTCCTTTGGATTGAAGGGGTATATGAAGGATGAGGGGAGAAGAAATGTGTAATGACAGTAAATGTAATAAGTACCTTTATTTCAGCTAACATGTAGAGGGAACTTCTTTTCTAGCAGCTATCTGCTTTGAATCACAGAACACATGAGGTCTCAATAGCATCTGGTCCAACCTTTTTGTTCAAAGCACAATCAGCAGGGTTTTCAGGACAAAATCCAGTCAGGTTTTCAATATATCCAAGGATGGAGACTTTACAACCTCTTTGGGCAACTTGATCCATTCAACTACCTTCACAACAAAGCGGTTTTTTTTTCTTGTGTAGTTGTTTTTCTTTGTTTAGATAGAATTTCTGGTGTTTCAATGTGTGTCTTTTGCTTCTTGTTCTGTCACTGGGTGCCACTGAGAAGAGGCTGATTCAGTTTGCTGAGATCATCTCATGAGATATTTATATGTATTCACAAGATTCCCTCTGAACTTTCTCGTCTCCAGGCTGAACAATCCCAGCTCTCTCAGTTTCCTGTCATATGAAAGATGGTCCATTTTCTTAGTCATTTTTGTGGCCCTTTGCTGGACTTGATTCAGAAGATCGATGTCTGTTTGGTACTGGGTGGGCTAGAGCTGGATGTTCACCTCACTCTTGCTGAGTAGAGAGGGAAGAGAAGGATCACACCCCTCACCTTGTTGGCAGCACTTTTCCTTAATGTAGCCCAGGATGCTGTCAGCTGCCTTTGCCATGAGGGAGCATTGCTTGCTCATGTTCAACTTGTTGTCTAACGGGACTACCAGGTTTTTTCCTGTAAAGCTGTTTTCCAGATGGTTGACCTACCCCCCATTCTGTAGTGATGCATGGGGTTATTCCTCCCCAAGTCCAGGGAGGTACTTCCCTTTGCTGTACTTCTTGGAGGTTCCTCTCTGTCCATTTCTCCAGTCTGCTGAGGTCCCTCCCTCATTTGCTAAGTCACTCATGCCTTTTTAGAAGCCCATCAGGTTGGTTAAATGTGATTTTGCCTCTGTTGACTACTTCTGATCATCTTCTCAGCCTTGATGTGTCTAGAAATGGTTTCCAGGATTAGTTGCTCCATTGTTTTTTTAGAGACTGAGGTGAGGTTGACTGGCCTGTAGTTCCCTCCTCCTTGCCCTTCTTGAAGAGAAGGGTGATGTTTGCTTTCTTTCCTTCTTTGCTTCCTGTATAGACTTCTTGGAGTAGCGAACTCCTTTAGCTGTGTGACATAACTGACAAATATAGGCCCCTGCTGCTTTTGGGGAGGAATTGTACTGCAAGCTCCACCAACAATAAAGGGTGACCGGTTTCATCATTGACAACTTAAATAGTCTGTATCTATCCTTAGTGAGATTAATTCCATACCATGTGTTGCATTTTAGTTTGCAAATACTATGCTTCTACTTTTTGTCCAGAACTTTCTAGCATTAACAAAAGAATGTGTTTAACACTAACCTGAGCTTACTTTTATTCTGTAGCTATTAGAACGAGAACCACTTGTATATCATCTAGACCTGCTAGAACCTCTTCCTGCTGTCTTGGAAGACCTTCCTGATGATTTTTTTGAAGTCACAGTGGATGATGTACGGAAACGTTTGGCACAGCTGCAGAGCGAGAGGCAAGTTTCCTTTCTGGTAATAACGGAGAACACTGCATGTCTTTTTATTGAGGAAGGTTGTGCTATCCTCCTGTAGGTAGCTGTGATTTCTGAGGCAAAGGTTGTAGATGAATTAATGGTGTTGGATTAATGACCAGGCCTAGAAACCTCTAGGTTTAATGCCAGCTGAGCACAGGGTCATGATTCTGTGCCAAGATCTATGTTTTTGTGTGAATCAGTTGATTATTTGTGTCATGGGATAATGGGCTTACTGGGATGCTGAAAGTTGTGTGAATCAGTTGACTATTTGTGTCATGGGATAATGGGCTTACTAGGATGCTGAAAGTTTCATCATGAAGTATTTCCAATGCTTGTGCAGTAATAAGTTTTTCTGAGCAGCTTAAAGAAGTTGGACCCACACTAAGAAAGGAATAAAAGAAAGATTTGTGCCCATCTTCTGCATTTCAGGGAGTTACTCATAGGCACTTACTATGCTGTAGTCTTCCCTCCCTCCCTCCCTCCCCATTCCTCTGAAAGAGAAGCCACTAACTTTATAAGTAACGTGTCTTTATTTGTTAGAGGCCCAAAACCGTGTTGAGCTCCTGCTCGCTGTATTTTCATCTGAAGTTGATTGTTAGAAGTTAAATGGCTAGACTTGGTAACATGTGATGGGCAAATACATGAACACAACAATCCAGTCACAGAGGAATAATTGCTACTGACTTCAGTAGCAGCTAGTAGCGTTTTTAGCTAGTGAGAAGAGCATTGTATTTTAAGTATTGGAGTTACCTTCCATATGATCTAATCACAAAATACAAATTTTGAGATATTATCCAAACAGAAATAGTGCAAAATGAAACTTAATCACAAATCAAGACATGAGAATGTTTTGGATGCTCCCAAAGGGGACAAAGAGGTGTAGGAAACTGGGCTAACTGCATATTTATGCATATTCTGTTGTTCAAGCAGCTTGCTGCCAGATATACATGATTTTTTTGTACTTTTTTTCCTGTTCTGAACTAGAAATTCAGGTTAAGGTAGCCTCCCCATTACAACAGCATTTTACCATCTATGTGTTCCTCAATTGATTAACTTTGTGAACATACTTAGTTTCATACTTTAAACATTACAAAGATTCTATGAAACTGTGGGACAGTATTATACTGTAGCCATGTCTGAGTAGAACTTTCTACTTAGAGTTGATTTACACCACCTCCTCCCCCACCTCTCCCTGTGCCTCCAAAATCCACATACACAGATTGGCTTGAAAATTGCTCTGCTGCTTGTGGGTCTGGAGTAGTTAGTGGTACAAATGTATGGTCATTTGGTCGGGGGTTACTGGAAAATACCCCCCTCTAAAAGGACCTCATTTCCAAATCTGCTGATGCTTGTAACCCTTTTTCCTTCCATGGTCAGGGATAAAAATAAAGGCAAGTTCCACAAGACATGGGTATCAGTTGGCTGCTGATCTCAGCTGGTGGATCTTACCAAGAACTAGCTGCACACAATGCAGTATTTTAAATGTGGTTAGAATTCAGTTTCAGTTTCATGAAGAGCAGAGAATCAATATGAATCATAAACTTGATACAGAAAGAACAGAACAGGTTAGTTTGCTGCTCACTTTTCAAAGTTTTAATTGGCACTTTTGATCATTTTCATGATCTGTGCCAGGTAGGTGTTCTGGGTGCTCTTGGTGAGGAAAGCTTGGAGTTGTTTTGTTCAGCACTTGTTCCTGAGATACCTTGATGAGCCTCAACAATAGAAAGAGATTCAAATTACATAGACACAGGAAGATTATCATATAATAGTTCAGCTTTACAGTTATTTGAGCAGATGTTTCACCAAAATCTAGCCTGATAAATAGGTTGTTCAGAATTAAGTATTATTCAGGATGCTGATATATAGGGGAAAGGGACTGAAACTGAACATGGAATTGAAAGGTATCTGCTAAATTTAAGCTTACAGGATTCTTCTTTTCTGAATTTACTGTGTTGTCTTAAATATGGTTAGATTAGTTTTTGTTCCCGCTATTCCTTTTAAAAGACCAATCCACAGCCTTGCTTCATTCATTGTCTGAAATATCTCGTTCCTGTTTTGTTTCCTTTGTGCTAATTAATACCCGTTAGTTCTTATGCCAACATTGTTTTTCAGCTTCAGTAACTCTTTTTCCCTCCCTGGAGTAATTGTGTCACTTAACCCAATAAAACAGAGGCTGAATAAATCTGTTTTTTGCATGTAATCGCAGAAAATGGTCCCAGATCATCTTAGTAGCAATCTGCTTCAGTACATGTCCTTGTACAGAGTAAAATTAATTTTGTACAGTATTGTAGGTGATGCTTGCTAAATCCATTTACAATCCTGTATTCCTTATCTATATGAAATGTTTTGTATAGCCTAGATTGCTAATACTTCTTTCCAATATACTATCATCTTTGCATTTCATAAGGCTTCTTATGATCAGCTTCTGTGCTTAGGTTTTTGTCAGGTTTCCTGAGCAACGGCAGTTTTGAGATTTTGGGTTGGATGCACAGAAGGGGAATACAGTGAAGGCTATATGGGACTGTTGAGCTGTTCCATATATCCTGCTGGAGCCTTTCGTTTTTCAATGAAAGTATATTTTAGAGCAGCAGTAGTGACAGCTTGTCTTATTCCCGCTCATCTAGGAAGCGTCTGGAAGAAGCTCCACTGATGACAAAATCTTTAAGAGAGGCTCAGCTGAAGGAAAAGTTAGAACGTTACCCAAAGGTAGCCTTTTCTTTTTCTCAGGTCTTTCTGTCTAGTTCAAAATTGCAGTTTAATAAGCTTTGGGTACCAAAAGTAATCAACAGGATCTTGAACTGCTTATAGGAAGGCTTTTCATGTTGGTAGGACCCATATAATAGATATACTATGTAAAATCAGCAGGCATATAAGGATGTGATTGGGCAACAGGCAGAACAGCTCCTTTTGTTTCCTTCTGTACATGATACATTACTGATATTTCCTACCAGTACATGATACTCTTTGTGTAGGCCAGCTCTCTCACAGTCTTTGGAAGTTGGACAGTCCATGTTCTCTGAGGAGCAGCAGTTACTGAAAACTGCAGCTTGTAAGACAGAATTGCTCAAATATTCCCGTTTATAAGAAACTTATTGTAAATTCTAAACCAACGGCAAGCCTTACGGAACAGCTGTACACGGCTGACCTAATGTGCTTTGCTTCTGACTAGGTGGTGTTGAGAGTACATTTCCCAGACCGTCACGTTCTGCAAGGGTTCTTCCGTCCTACCGAAACTGGTAAGAGCAATTTCTGCTTTAGTCTCTGTGGCTGCAGCCAACATCTCTCATCATGCCAAAGAGGGTAGCTCTGGACAGATCTTTCTGCTGCTCAGGCGAGTAATACTGTCCTGAAGAAGGAGCAGTAGCTAGCTATGCCGTCCTTATAGGATGTCAACAGAGCTAGATGAAAAAACAGTCTGAGGTAGTACTTTAGGAGAAATTTATTTCCAAGACTACCTGATGGAGGCTTTGTTAGGCTGCTTAATGGCAGGTGCTCAGGAAACTGTCATACTTGATATCCCATTACTTGTGTTCAAATATTATATTACTGAGTTACAGCTGTTTCAGACAGACTCCGTAAGAAAAGGTTTGGCAGGCCAAGGATGAGGTTGAAAATTTCCTTTATGTAAAAGATAATTTTTAAGCGTGTGTGTGTGTGTGTTGGGGTGGGAGGGCGGGGGGCAGTTCAGGTGGCAGCCTTCTCTGCTGTAATCCCAGTAACAGGGGTTGGACCATTCTTTAGTTCACAGCAACTAGTGAGTCAAACTGCTTATCAGATAGCTCTCAATACTAATCTAGATCTCTCCTTATGAGCTGGCAGTTCTCACACATTTTTGATGCTTTTATGTGGAACAAGAACTGATAACTGGTGACCAGAGTCTCAGCTAACTCATCTCTGCAGATCTTGCAGCTGTTACTGAATTTGCTAGGAAGAATTTCACTGGTATCCTTACATTTTGCCAAGCGAACAGAGTATGTAGGTTTGTTTTCTACAAGATATAGTGTTCACTCAAGGATAGGGCAACCTGTGCACGTTGCAAAGGGCAGCTCTGCAGGTTCAGGCTAGCCCTTAGGTTCAGCAGCCAAAGAAACAACTGTCATCCAGGAAACCTTTCTCTTCTTTCTCTACAGTTGGCATCTTGAGAGACTTTGTAAGAAGCCACCTTGCAGATGTGGATTTGCCATTCTACTTGTGTGAGTGCACTGTTGATAATACTTGGCCCTACTTTACAAAGCCTGTTCCTAGCTGTGAATTGCTGTGATGCATATGGAGTCTGGATGTCATAAGATATGACCTGGGGAGGGATTTCTTATTTAAATATGGCCTTGGAATGGAAAGAAGATGCAATCCTGATCATTTAGACACATTATGCTTCTGCCTAATATGAAGCGTATGTGGCTAATGTGCGAAGCGAATGTGCCCTTCTTTTGAAGGGCAACAATTCCTTTCATACCTGTTGTATTTATTGTTTTGGTTGCTGGATGGCCCTGTTTGGTAACTTATTTTTTAACTTCAGTTATTGCACCTCCCAGAATCATCTTGAATGATGAAAATTTGACGCTGTTTGAGGTAAGGACTCATGCCTGTACTCTCATTCTTCCTAAAACATGCTGCTGTTTCCATGCATTCCAACACACCTTAATTGTTTTTAAAAGAAGCTGTTTAATGTCATGATCCCTCTAGATTTCTGCTTAGTCAAGACTAATGGAACCAGGTGTTTGGAGCACGAGCTCCTCACCAGAAGAGGTCCACCTTGTGCAGCAATATGTAGTGTCATGATGGGGAGAGTGAGGGTTCATATTGTTGTATACTCTGTGCCATGTGGAATCTGCACCATATGTAGCCTTAAAAGTTATTGTGTGAGCTGAGTAGATGAGTTTGTTGTGTAAATGAGATTGCTGTATTTGTAGTTGGTCCAATGTAGTAGGAAACATAGTTGGCTCAATATAGTAGGATACATACTACTGGTTTGGGGTAGATGACAGGTTTTAAGTTCTACAGCAGAAGCTAAATGCCATATTAGAAAAAATATGACCTTTCTGGTAATCACTGTACAAGAGTTTATTTTCAGCTAGCTTGTACATTGTAGAGCATGTACTTTCTATGTTGTAATTTTTTTCAAAGGTTGAAATTTAAATTTTGGAAGTTATTTGTAAATGTCAAGCAAAGTGATGCTGATGTCTCTGACTGGAGACTGTTGGCTGCAGAAATCACATATGTGCATAGATACTGGCTGAGTGATTTTTCAAGTGACTTTGCCCCAGACTGACTGTTTTTAATATGGGGAGCCATTCAGTCTTTCATGGGCATGTGTAGAGTGATGCACTGAAGATCACTTGCAGAGTGAAGGGTCAAGTAGGTTGTAGTGAGAGATTTTTTGATTGATGCCTCTGAGGGCTGAGAAGGAGCAGAGTGGAGAAACAAAGAGAGAGAGAGAGGAGGAGAAAGGGACCTTTCAGACACTGAATTAGAGAAGGATTAGAGAGCCTCTGAAGTTGTTTGCAATGGAGCTTTCCAAATTCCACAACCTTCTGTCCAAGCCATGTGGAAGAGATACAAGTGCAGCTGCTCTTGCGCTGTTGCATATTCAGAGAGTCAAATAATTTGAGTCCCTATTTTCACACTCAGAAGTTTTTCCCCCTTCCTAATACTCTATTAAGATTTTTTTAACAAGATACGAAGTTTTGGGTATGGTTTTATTGATGTAACCTCCTCCTTGGTGGAGGAGAGGAGCCTGAGCAGTGATTTTTCTCTTGTTTAATTTGTAAATCCTTTGTTCAGTATAAGGCATGTTACCTGTGTGTGTGCTACATGGGCAGTAATTTCTCATTTTCCCAGTTGTGACATTTAATTTGGAGCTCATTCCTTACAGCAGCTCTTGAAAGACTATTTCACTAAATTTAGTTTTCTCTAAAGGCTTTGAGGTGCCTTAAGCCCAATTGCTTTTTGACTGCTTCAGAAATTACTATTTAATGAAGAGTCTGGTCTTTTCTAATTTCCAATGTCATCTCTTTGTAATGGCTTCCCTGAGATTTGCGTGGTACATCATGTGACAAAGATGCAAAACCATAACAGCACAAAACAAAGATGGTTAAAGATAGAGCAGTCTAAAGCTGAAAATGTTGCTAAAGTTTATGGTGAGTTTACAGACCCTTGCTGCAAGTTTTGTGATCTTTCTGCTTCAGCAGAATGCAGAAATTTGCAAAATTTGTATTTGTAGTGTAGCTCATCTAAAATGAGCTGGTACAGCAGCTTTAGGTGGCGGGAAATGTATATGCAGCTATAGATATTCAACTGTGTAGTTTTTTTTTTTTTTTAATCATGCATGTTTAGTTAATGCCTCAGAATGCCTCGAGCTCTAGCTTTCAAAAGCTTATACCCCAAATTAGAAAAGCTCATCTAGTTCATTGCACGTCCTTGCAAAAATGAGTTGATCATGAAAGGAGCAGGCCAGCATATTTTCTTTTCTTTCTTTTTTCTTTTTTCTTCCTTATTTAAGCAGTTTGTTTTATTTTGCCTTTAATCAAATTCTACTCAGGGAGCCTCAGCCTGCAGCTGTCTTTGTGAACTGGAAATGAGTTCATGGTTTCACCTGGATGGTTTGGGCTAGCAGCATTGCTCCAGTGAGGTGCAGAGGTTCAGCAGTGAGGAAGCTGTGGAGCTTTGGACTGGTGTGAAACAACCCTGCAATTGCTTTGCTTGAAGGGGAAGACAACTTGTGTGTTCATGGTATGATATGAGAAGGGAGACAGCAGTGAGGAGTGAGGTGAATTGGAAGGATTAACATAGAGTGCAGAAGATGAAGAGCATCTGCATAGAAGAGCAGATGACATGAGGAGATGTGAATGGGATGGGATTTGGGTTCGTCTGCCTTTAAAATGATTTGGAGGCAGCAGATTCCAGCTGCCAGGAATGTGAATTGGGGGAGGGGTGCCCCAGCATGTGCATTAAAACCCTAAAGCTGTGTAATGCAGCTGTATGTAAAGTAGCCCTTATATTAAATGGCTTTGCAGAGTGGAAGAGTTGTGTTTGATGCCTGTGGCCATGTCGCCTGTGTCCCATGCCTGGAGCTCTGCAGCCCTTTTAGGTCATGGTCTGGTGGTGACAGGAATGATTCTGTGTGTTTATAAACATTTTATTTGGAAGAAGCATCAAACAGGAAAAAAAACGATTCCTGCTGAGGACTTGTCATGCCACTCTTGTCACCCGCACTGCTTGATGGAGACCACAATGCTCCAGCCTACCAGTCTGGTACCTTCTCCCAGTTTAGGTTGGCCGATTCTGGGTAACATTTTGCTCCCCGTTAAATCTTTTCATCCATGACTCTTGCCTCGAGTCAGGGCAGACTCCATGTCTTAACGTCTTCGGCTTGGATAGACTTTCCCGGCCGCTGGAGACCTGAGCGCTTGGCAGGGGCTGAAGGGGTCTTTCTTCTTTGGAAAGAAATGGGTGCGGAAGCTGCTCTGGCTTTCATGTCCCTGGCAGCTCTGTTATTGTTGGATGCCCTTTTTATGAGCGGCTGTTACTAATCAAGCTGCTTTGCTGAAGTTTCAGTGCTCTTGGTAAAAATGAAACTGGCACAGAAAGGCACAGCAGAGGTGTTATTTCTGGTATTGGGCCAGGTGAGGCAGCGGCGGGGGCAGACTTTGCTTTCCACTTTTTCTCAGCGGTGCTCATCCTGCAATATTGTCTTCAAGCAGCTAAGCCCTTACACTGGGAGGGTGTTTGTGCTGCTCAGGGTCCGTGTTTGCTGCAGGGTGAGGGCTGCAGGAAAGACTGCAGTGCCCGGTCCTGCATTGATGGGACTCAGCCCTCTATGGATGGGGTGGTCGAAGCCTTGGCCTCTTCCAGGCTCCATGTGGTCCCTGGCAAGGAAGCCTTTTGTGTTAGGGTTAGACCCAGTAGTGTGAGCAGCAGCCTCCAAGAATGAGCCTAGTGCACCTAATGCGGCTCTATAATGAACTTGTGTTGCTTAGCACTTTGTTTTAATGGGGCATTTCTTAGGTGACTTACAAAACTGTTTTTGTTCATAATGGATCTTCCAAAACGTGTACCGCCCTGTATTTTTTTTAATAGTTAACTGCCATATTATTTGATGTTCACACTTTCATACACATCTTGCTGAGCAGACAACATACCAGAACATACCAGAATAGAATTCTTTCTTGGAATACCTCTGGATTCATATCAGAAGTGACTTGGCTTTCAGAGGAAGCAAAGGCTATTAGCCTTTGTCCAATTAGTCTTTTCCATAAATATATTTTTTTTTCTTTTTTTTTCTTTAAGTATGCTTTGTTCTAGTTTTTGTTCTTAGGAATTTCTTAGATGAGTGTTTCCCACTCATAGTTCTCAAATTCTTGAGAAACAGAGAATAAGAAATAGTTAAGAAGAACAAAGAATGGAATAGAAGCTGACTTATGGCTTTTCTGCAGGCGATCCTTGGTTTTCTGGATTGCCTCATGTCTTCTTCAAATACATGATGCTGTTATGCCTAAGCATAAATGGATTATTACTGCAGCTTTTAAGTAGTATTGTAGCAGAGAAGCATCCAGTTGCTTATTCCCTTCTGCCTAGCTGTGAACTGCTTAACTGCCTTTTATTTCCCCTTTTTTTTGGGAGGGTAGTGTATTGGTAATAGGGAACTCTAGCAGCATCTTCTAATAATATGGGAATTGCTTCAATGAACTTTAGAATGGATTTCTAGAAGCTTAAGGTAGTTGTTGAAACCATCAGAGGCAGAGCCTTTATGTCAAACACAGAATGTTCTGGACATTGAGCACTGTCAGCCTGTATGTTTTAGCAGCTTGTTGTCATGGAGACTGCATGATACCTGAACAGATCACAACTCCACCCTCTGCTAAGATAGAGGACAGAGTTCCCTTTTTGTCACCTGTCTAGAAACTGGGAATCATTGTCCAAGGTCAAGTGTGAATCACTGAGTTGCATTTAGGTTTTTGTGGCATGTGTCTGTGATGGTATTGTGCTAGTAGTAAGTTACCCTTCACTCTTCAGACTGCCATAGTACTGTATGTAAGAAAAAATCAGTGAGATCTGAAGCAATGTGAACGTATTTCAGTGTTTGAATATTTATAAATGACTGAAATTTGTGCTGAAGTTGTTGCAGATGGTGGAGTACCGTATTGCCAGTGCTTCTACTCTCTCTCCACCGTCTCCTTCCACACAAGCTGATAAGATCATTGGAACCACATTTGTTAAATCTGAGTGCTGATAGTGAAGGAGGAACCTTTATGTTGCAAGCAAAACTAGGACAGACAGACAAATATTGTCAACTTGTTTGCCAAGAAACAGCAACTGAAAGAAGTATGTCTGAAACGAATTGTGCTGAAAAAAAAGTGTATTTACAGTAGAGTGAGCACACAGATTGGCAGTAACATGGAGTTTTTGGAACCCATAAAGACTTCAAGGCATTGTTTTGATATTTTATTATTGCTATTTTTGCTGGCTATGTTATCCTCATGTCCCATGAATTGTTTTATGATGTTCCCCTCTCCAGAACTGATCAAATGCAGGCTTCCCTGTTGGCCTAGGGTTCCTTTTAGCTCTGGTTG